CTCCCAAGTAGCTGGGACTACAGGTGCCCGCCACAACCCCTGGCTATTTTTGTTGTTATCATTGTTTAGCAGGCCTGGACCGGGCTTGAAATTGCCAGCCTTGGTACATGTGGCTGGCGCCATAACTACAGGTGCCGAGCCAGAGTAAGCTCTTGAAGGCATTTTTAATTCTGACATGGGAGAGCTCTGAGGATGTTCTAGTTTGTTGAGCTGGACTGTAGGCCTGGTGGATGATGTGAGAACTCACAGATGTTGCAACATTCTTAGGCTAACAATGGTATCTGCTTTCTGCGTTTTGATGACACCAACCCTGAGAAGGAGGAAGCAAAGTTCTTCACTGCCATCTATGACATGGTGACCTGGTTGGGTATGGACTGGTCAAGGCCTGGGCAGTACTGGTAGTCAGTGGGCTTCTCCATGGGCCATGGCCTGCCATTGGGTGTTTCTGGCTGGCTAATATTGTCTAATTCTGCCCTAGGTTATACACCTTACAAGGTGACATATGCCTCTGACTATTTTGACCAGCTGTATGCCTGGGCTGTGGAGCTCATCCACAGGTGAGGCCAGGGCCATGTTGTAGAGCCAAGCTGGCTGATCAAGTCACAGCCATGCCAGTCATTGACACCCGTTCCCCACAGGGGTCAGGCTTATGTATGCCACCAGCAAGGAGAGGAGCTGAAAGGCCACAACCCTCTGCCCTCACCCTGGAGGGACCGACCCATGGAGGAGTCATTGCTGCTCTTTGAGGTGGGGACCTGGAGGATTAGCTGAGTTTGGGTGGGCCAAGATGGTGAGGATGAGATACCTGTGTGCTTAGAGGCAGCCTGAGCCCTTGTTCCCCTCAGGCAATGCGCAAGGGCAAGTTTTCAGAGGGTGAGGCAACGCTGCGGATGAAATTGGTGATGGAGGATGGGAAGATGGACCCTGTGGCCTATCGAATCAAATATACACCACACCACCGTACTGGGGACAAGTGGTGAGAGTGGGCAAGGGGTAGGGTAGCAATGCTGTAGAACAGGGCAGTGGGCCATGGGGCAGGGCAGAGTGTGGCTGGATGGTAGGACTCACTATTTAAGCCTTGCAGGTGCATCTACCCCACCTATGACTACACACACTGCCTCTGTGACTCCATCGAGCACATCACCCACTCACTGTGTACCAAGGAATTCCAGGCCCGGTGAGGAGCTTGGGCCCATAGGGTGGTAGGGTAGTTGAATTCTAACATCCCTTCCTGTGGTCTCTCCCTGGTCTGAGAAGTAGCCATTCATTTTTTTTTTTTTCTAAGTTTTTGCTTTCAATTTCAGCTGGCTTTCACTCATCTTGGTTTGAAGTTTTTTTCTGTTAACTTTTTTTTTCCTTTTTTCCTTTAGTGATTCTCTTGCCCTTTGCCTCCCAAGTAGCTGGGATTACAGGTGCCTGCCACAACGCCTGGCTTTTTTTTTT